TCTGGTCTTAACATGTTGAGACTATCACATAAAATCAAATAGTAGACCATAAAATAATAGAGCCCTATTTTACCTATACCAGCACAGATTAATAACGATATAAACATCATCTCATGTAACAATTTTATTAGCCATTTAAAATATAAGTTTGATATAAAATAAGGCTATTGGGTTATGAAGATGAACATATAACCTTAGTGCCATTATTTAGACAAATATATCTTGGCCATTGTCCATGTGAATTCAACCAGAAATTAATTAGAAGAGAAAGAACATGGCAGATATTACCTTGCGTGTAGAGTGAATGACCTTGAGAAGGTGTTCAAATGTGTGTGGAGCATGTACTGAGGAGGGTCTGTCCCAGGACTTCTGTACATCAGGAGAAATTACTTTCATTATCTTTTGATTTGTCTGTCTTAACCATGCTGTCCCTGGCCTAGCCAGGGAGCCTGTCAGATAGGAACTGTGAGCCTTCACTCCGAGTTTACTATGTGGCAGGCACTGTGACCGGAAACGTATTATTTCCAGTTTACAGGTTAGGAAATTATAAAATAAACAGGAGCGCTGAGACTTGCATGCTGCCGCTGCTGCCTGCTGGCTCTGGTTGTATTCCCAGCATAGCTCCTGGGACACAGTAAGTGCGCAGCGTGTTTGTCTAGTTAATAAATGAGTAAATAGATGAAGAGAGGGGGTTGCAGAAGTAGACGGGGAAGCTGGAAATGTGAAGATGGTTTAGGGAGATCCCCTTTAACAAAGAAGCACTATCCTACGATAGAGTAGATTTTGTTACAGAAGTGTGTTTGTGACTTTCACTATGTGTTTGTGACTTGCAGTGTGTGTGTGTGTGTGTGTGTGTGTGTGTGTGTGTGCGCGTTTTCGTGTGTTAGCACATATAATCGTTTTAAAATGATAAGGTCTCAACTGAAAAGTGAGATTTAGGTATTATATTCCGATTTATAGCCAAACTAAATGTGACAGAATGTAAACTCCTGACATGAAAGGATTATAATGGAAATCTTGGCAGCCCCTCAAGTATGCTCCCAGAATACATCGTGATACGTTAACTCTTTCTATTTAGGCCTGGAGTGAAATCACCGCATTTTCCCTACTGGCACTTAATCCAATCACTGTAATTGCATCTGCTCGCTTGCTCATTGTCATGTGATCGTTGCACTTTTCCCTACTCAGACAGGAATCAGTAGATTCACAAAAGATTCATTAAGGGGGCAGATCTGTTAACTGGGTCACAGTCTTTCCACTACCATGAAAACCTTGTCCAACAATGACTCCAAATGGTATAATGTCATGTGAAATCCAAGAAGTTCCTGGTAGAGTCAGTAAATGAACTGGCAAACCAGCTTGAAGACTGAACATTAATTATTAGGTAACCTTGGTGGTGACAGTGTGGCAAGAGGGGTGGGGAGGTGGATGCAGGGGTGCAGTTGGGGCGCATGCCTGGAAAGAACATGCCCAGCGAGAAATATAAGGGAAGGCACAGGGAGGTGGAAGTTCCTGCAGGAAAGCCAGGCGGGACAATGATGAACAGGGTGGGTCTGGGTTCGACGTTGGTCTGGTGGGAGGAATAGGTGTTAACAAGAGAGAACCCAGAAACAACAACAGCTCTATCAGTGAGAAATGGGCCAAAGGGGAGCATACTGCCTGGGTAGAATCCCCCCCACTCCTGCCACTGGTATAACACACACTATTTAAGGGCTGAAAAATTCCAAAGTAGAGGAAGGAGTCTGCTTGGTGGAGCACATGGTGGAGGAATAGGTCTTAACAAGCAAGACCCCAGAAGCAGCAACAGCAATACCAGTGAAAAATGAGCCAAATGGGATTCTCCACCTGGAAAAATGTACCTGAGTTACCATTGTTCCTACAATTCCATAGGCAGAGGCCATGGTAGCAACCATGGCACAGGTCTTCAGAGCCCTACTTGTCATGAATGTTCCATTCATTCCTTTATTCGCTTAGGTTTAGGTCTTTAGAGAGAGCTCATTTTCAGGATACCTTAGTTTCAGAATCATAGGGACCAAAGAGGAAATGCAATTACAACTGGGAAGCATTTGAATACTCCGGGTAGGGAGACTAGCATCTCGGGGTGTTGAGACTGCTCAACCTCCGGGTCCTAAAGGAACTTCATCCATTCTCACCTGCAGTTACTGAAGGAGTCTCAACTCTGCCCAGGCATTGGAGTGACCATCCTAATTGGGGAGCATGCTGTCCGATTTTAATGATTATGAACTGACGTTTTACTGCATTTTAACTTACAGCGAGGACATTTTTACTTTATTCCCTGCAGATCTGGTCATGAAAGGGACTCTACAATCAAACTGAGACATCTCTTATCCTGACTCGCTCTGTGCAATGGGAGGATCCATGTCGTGCCATTTTGTTTTATGCATTTGCTCTGATAACAGAGCTATGTGTCTCGACATAATCTGAAATAGGAACTAGAATGAGGACAGAATTTGCATCCTAGGATAGAACTGGGCTTGGCATTAACTTGATCGGAATAAAATTGGACCCATCTCAGTGCTTTCTGATGACAAAATCTAAGCAGCACACTATGGATCGAGGTGTAGAGTGGGTAGGGTTTCATGAGGACAGGAGTTGGACTCCCGAGGGGATCCCCTGTGTGCGTATGTGTTAGGGGAGCAGCTAATCATACACTGAGTTTATTTCAGGTTAAATGGTTAAGAAAAGAAAGTGCTGGATGATGTTAAGAGAGAACTGCTCTTCAGTTTGCCCCCCGAGTTCTCTAAAAAAACTTGTGCCAGCCTAGCAGTCCTGGCTGCTCATCCCATCTCTTACTTGTACCAGAAGACGAATTGAGTGATCTGATTGGTAGATTGCATGTATGGTCCATATTTCTCACCCGTGTACAAGTGATGCACGAAAGACACAAGCCCAGACCAATGTGAGGCAGGAATCCTATTCCCTAGTTCTGAAGGTTCCCGTAGGCAGGCCGGCCAGGATCTAGACCTGAAATGGACCAGCAAGGCCCTGTCATCAACACATCTAAAGTCACGTTATCCAATTCTCCTTATCAGTAATAAAGCTGACATTTTCATCTCCATCTGGGTCTGATTTCTCAAGTGGATCTGAGCACGAGAGGAGAAGAAAAGACTATTATTTACTGCTACCCTGAACACCCGCACACCTCCCATGCATGCTGGGTTGTTACCCCACATGACCAACTCCCTCCCTTTATGACAAACAAATGCCTAACATATGAGTAGATGTAACTTTAATTTAAATTTTCCATAAAATAAAGAAAATGGGTAGTGGGAAGGCCAGAAACTTATAGAGAGGCACTCCTAGGTTAGAACCCTGGGTCCATGAGGAATGAACCGGGCATAATACACCATCTTCTATGAACTTGCTTTCTAACTTAATACTGAATATTAAATGAGACACAGCAAAGAAGCATCTAGTATTATGCCCAATATGCTAGTTTTTCTCAATATATCATTCTTTTCAGTATTAGTAATGCCTTCTTACACAAAAGCAAATGCTTGAGGTAACGGGTCACAGTTCTTTCGTACCTTATAGTCAATATATGTTCATTCACTGCAGTTCAGTCTTTGCCCCTGAAGAATGAGTAACAGAATCCAAACTAAAGAAGGTTGGCTTTGTTATATTAAAAAAGTGCAATGAAAAAAAATCCTTAAAGAAACATCTGTCTAGTGAAATTCATAAGTTTCTTCACTCGGGAAAGTTCTGGTTTGTGCTGCGTTATTTATGGTCCAGGGTTAAGATCTCATTGGGTGGCCCAGCTGCTTCCCCTATGCATTTGCAATGCTGGGCATTGCATGCTTCTTCAACCCAAAAGCAATAGCTCTTTCCCCTACGATCCTGCTCAAGATGTAGTTCGACTTCGTGGGACCAAAAGTTGAGTAGGGTCATAAACCAAGGCTAGGCCTTGCCTCTTCCATGTTGCCTGCTTTTTGTGGTTTATATGTGATCAGTAACCAGGAAAGCTCAATACACCCAGCTCATTGCATCTGGGGGAAATGCACGCAGAATTACAAACACTGGCAACAGCCTCAGCTGAGGAGAGGCACTGTGTTTATTCAAGAACATGGCACAGTCATCCAGCCCCTGGCATATGATTTATTTCTTAAGGCCCCAAATCAAATGACCCACCTTCGAAGTCCTTTATTAAAGCCTCGGGCATGTGGTACTCATTTGATTTTTAGAAGGAATCAACAAGAAATATAGGTGAGTAAAAGGGAGAAAGAGTAGAGAGGGTTAAAAAAAAAACAAGCTCTTGTTAACATGAAGTCAATGTTAGAGATTTTTTTTTTAAATCTTTGAAAGAGTGATTTTACTGGAGCAAAGGATCGTCTCTCTATAAAGAAAAAACACTATACCACTTCTCAAAGTATTTCTTAATATGCATCTAAAGTTTCATTGTTAAAGAGTCAAATTTTCCAAATCAGAGAAAAGTATTACTTCATGGTCCCCGAGTTTCCAATCGCTCCGCGTATGAAACGTTGAGGTTTAAGAGGCCAAGGCTCCGAGTGGAAAGCATCTGTTTGATGTCGGCGAGGTCTCTGACAAATTCAGTGTTAAAAGACTCCGTGCCGCTCTTTGAAAATATATCACTTTCTAATAAATCTCTGAGCTCTGACACACTCAGCGACGAGGTTTGCTTTATGGACTTAGGCAAGAGCATCTGTGAGCCGCACCTGGCCCTCCCTGAGCTGAGAGAGGCAGATTTTAAAATTGCCATGAGTCTGGCCGGTGAGGCTCAGGTTTTGAGTGCCGAGCTATGAACCAGGAGATCAGGAGGTCATGGTCTGACCCCCCATGAGGGCACTCCCCAGTAGTGAGCATGTAGGGGGCAACCAATCAATGATTCTCTCTCATGGTTGATATTTCTATCTCTCCCTTTCTCTCTGAAATCAATAAAAAAATTTTTTTATCAAAATGAATGGACAGCTTCAGGTTCAGGTGCTGACCTAGTCTAGTACCTTTCTTTTCTCTACTTCCAGATCATACAGCGTCAGGATTGGTGAATTCCCCTGACCTAGCTAACATCCTATTTAAATTTTCCATAAAATAAAGAAAATGGAAAAGAAGGTAAGTTGGAGAAGATGCAAGAAATTAAAGCTGAACTATTCATTATGGTCTTTGCTGGGGCTATGTCATCATGGCACATGGGTTTCGAGGTTGTTGGTACCATTATCTCAGCCACTGTGGGGGCTGGTGCATTTTCACAGACGACGCATTCAGTGTAAAATGTTCTATTGTGTAGCTGCTTCAGCGCATCAAGACTGTAGTGAAAATGGATCTCTTACTCAACATTGAGGAATAGCGGGATGATGAATTAGACACCTAAAAGTAGCACACTTATTTAAAAACATTGTACTGTACCTTCACTATAGAATCTTTAGATACCACAGGTAAGTACAAAGGAAATGAATCCCACATCTAGAAATAGCCACTTTGGCATACACTGGTTTCTCTCTCACACACAAATTCACACAAATGTGTACACGTGTATCTTTTTTAAAAATAACGTGGACCCCTTCACGAATTATTCAAGAGAGTGGTTTTGTTACGTAATACAACAGGAACATCATTCAAAAGCAGTTTCTCTGTGATGTGTGTGTTTATACACACACACATATATCCATCTTAATGGTTGCAGAATGTTCCATTATATGGATATGGATAAGGATGGGTGCCATCTTTTAATGTAAGAAAGGCCAGCCAGACCTGTCTTCCCTGTACTGCTTTCAACAATCACAATCTATTAAGCCAGCAACTCCCACCACAAAGCATGAGCCAGATGAGGCTGGAGGCTGGAGGGGACACTTCTCACAGTTAAAGAAAGACACTGAAATGAAAATTTAAAAAGAAACCAACACCCAGCCAAATCCCTAGGAAACTGTTATCAGAAGGTTTTGGGGTTTCTCTAGCATTCTCTACCTTTTTCAAAAAAACAAACTACACACACACACACACACACACACACACGAGCAACAGCAGGTGTGATATGTGGCTTATGTTCAGCCTTTTTGAAAATGGGATCACCTTGTGTGTGGCCTTCTTTCTTTTATCACTTAACATCATGAATGCTTTTTAGTATTCAACCACATTACTGAATGTCATTCATTCCTGTTAAAATATCCTTATTTCTCCATTCTGATGTTGGAAGACATTTGAGTTGTTAGAGATGTGTGTGATGTGTGTTACCCTATGAACACCGCTAATATGAATATTCTCATGCATGTCTCCTCACACACTTGCAGGAGTGAAAACACTGCATCATAGATCATGTTAATATTTGGCTGCCCAATAAAATGTCAAATTATTTCCCGAAGATACCAATTTACACTCCCACCCAAAGTACGGGAACCTGCGCGAAAGTACTAGTTGCTCCCTATTCTGACTCACCCTGGGTATTTCCTATACTTCCCACTTCAGCACTCTTGAGAGGGGTAGTGGTGTGGACTGTACTTCTAGGAGCATTTCCCGAGCACCTGTTGACATGTTTGTTAGACATTCGGGTGTTTTCTTTTGGAAAGTATCTGCTTATATCTCTTACCCATACCCCACTGTCTTCTTTCTTTTGTTTTCTAATTGCAAAAAATTTAAAGAACACATTGTGAGTTTGTCATGGAATAAATTGGTGGGGATATTGTCTCTCGTTCTCTGACTTAACCTTTTTATTCTATAGCATCTTTTTTTGAACACAAACTAGTTTATCTCAAGAATGTTTTTTATTTGTTTTTAGTTTTTAATGTAGAGGTCATTTGCATCTTTTATTTATTCAGGGATGTCTGCTTTTTTTGATGGTGTTGTAAACATAGTTTTTAAATTTAATATTCTATTTGTTTATGGCTAGTATATAGAAATACAATTTACCAATCTGGGATGAGACAAACTTCCTAAATTCACTTAATAATTCTAATAGTTTGGCTGTAAATCATTTGGATTTTTTTATGTTTGAAATCATTTTGTCTCCAAGTAATAGAATTTTATTTCTTTCCCTCCAGTTCTGATGCCTTTCATTTCTTTTTCTTGCCTTGTGCACTAATTAGGATCTCTAGTATGATAATGATTCGAAGTGACAAGAGGAACAGTGCTGCTTCAATCCCAGGATCAAGGAGAAATCTTTCAATAAGTGACAACTAAATATGATAGAGATATTTTGTAGATGCCCTTCATTAAATTAAGGAAGTTTCCTTCTATTCCTAGAGTCTGAGTGTCTACCATTAATGGATATTGAAATTGTTTGGCATCTGCAGAGAAGATATGATTTTTCTCTCCTTTTCCCTTACTGTGATAAATGCATTGATCAAGTTTTGAATTTGAAAGCCCATTTGGTCATGATGTACTATTCTTTTTATGTATTGCTGGATTTCGTTGGATAATATTTTGTTTAAAATTTCTCATCTATTTTCATAAGATAAATTTGCCTGTAATTTTCCTTTTTGTAATGCTCTTATCAGGTTTTTCTATCAAAGTTTAATTGCATCATAAAATGAGTTGGGAAGTGTTCCTTTTTTCCTATTCTCTAGGAGAGTTTTTATAATATTGGTTTTATTGCTTCCTTAAATGTTGAGAGAATTCACAAGTGAAACCATCTGGGCTTGGCGTTTTCTTTGTGGGGAGGTTATTTAATAACTAATTCAAGTCCTTAATAAGAAAAGGACTATTTTGATTTTCCCTTTATTCTTGTGTTATTGTTGGTAAGGGGTGTCTTTCAAGAAATGTGTACATTCTATTTTAGTAATTATTGACAATTTAGAAGTGTTTTAAATTTTCAGATTTATTGGCACATAATTATAATTTTCTTTGATTCAATTTGAGTATCTGTACAAAATGTAGTGATGGCCCCTTTTGTCAGAGGACTAATTTTCTTTCTCTCTCTCTCTCTCTCTCTCTCTCTCACTCTCTCTCTTTCTCTGTCTCGTTAGTCTTGCTAATTTTCCTTTTGAAATAACCAACTTTCTGCTTCATTAATCCTTTGATCGCACACTTGTTTTCAAGTCTCCTTAAGTGCTACTCTAACCTTTATTATTTCCTACCTTCTTCTTTGGGTTTTACTTGTTGAAATCTGTCTATTTCTTTAAAATAGATATTAAATTACTGGCTAAGCCTTTCTGCTTTGCAATATATGTGTTTATACTACATGCTTCCCTCTGTGCATGACTTTAGCTACATTCCACAAGTTGTCATATTTTAATTACCATTGAATTTAAATTGTTTTTTAATTTCCACAGTAGTTATTCTTGATTCATAAGTTAGAAGGAAGTATGTTCCTTATTTTTGACACATTTAGAGATTTTTCTGGCTATCTTTTCTTTTTTGTCGCTCCAAGCCCATGGTGGTCAGAGACTATACTGCATGATGTCAGCTTTTGAAACTGATTGGGGCTTTCCTGAAGGCCTGGTATTCTGTTGATTTTAGTAAATGTCCCTCGTGCACTTAACATCAAGTGTGTGTTTTATTATTATAGTTTGTCAAATAGATCAAGTTTCTTAATTATCTTTTTCAAATGCCCTATATCGTTACCGACTTTTTTGGTCTCCTGTTTTATCTTTTTAAAAAATTTAAATATTAAAGTCTTTTGCTGCTATGAGTGTTGATTTCTCTTTTTCTCAACTTACTTTCGTTAATTTTTTAAAAAATATTTTATTGATTTTTTACAGAGAGGAAGGGAGAGGGATAGAGAGTTGGGAACATTGATGAGAGAGAAGCATCGATCAGCTGCCTCCTGCACACCCCCTACTGGGGATGAGCCTGCAACCAAGGTACAAGCCCTTGACTGGAATCGAACCAGGGACCTTCCAGTCCCCAGGCCGACACTCTATCCAGTGAGCCAAACCGGCCAGGGCACTTTCGTTAATTTTTAAGCATTGAGGCTATCGGCTAATAGATGTATACATGTGGGTGGGATTATGAAGGACCCTGGGCTTCTAGATGTTCTTTTCTCCCATGAGGTTTTTCAAGGGCCAGTCTGTGGATCACTTCAATGCCTCCCACTGTTTTCCTTTGCATTTTACAATGCCTGTGTGAGCGCCAGGAGGGAGCAGGTTTATTGCGCATGCCATTCACTCTAGATTCTACTAGAGCAAATGATTGCAACAACCCAGAGGGAAAAAACTGGAAAATAAGTCCCTGATGTAAAAGTGGTCACAGGGCCAAAACAGTAGTGCCAATTATGATTTCAGGGCCTTGCGGACGTCGCTTTGCCAACAGCCTTTTAAACAATATATAATTTATTGTTGGTTTGGGCGGGCGCATTAAGCAATATTTTTTCTTTAAGCCGCCAGTTGACTTCGGATTAAAAGTCAATACTGAACGTTTCAGTTCGCTTTGGCTAATTTTACTTGTTTTGTTTTGCAAGGAAGGGTGTTAATGGCCATCAACCAGAAGAGAGAGAGAGAGAGAGAGAGAGAGAGAGAGAGAGAGAGAGAGAGAGAAAGGAGGCCTAGAGGGCTGACTCAGCATGGGTGTGGCCCTGGGTGTATGTATCATTTTCTGTAATCTTCTACCTTCGTGTTCCTTTCCTGGATGACATGGATTATGACAAAGTGGCAAGCCAGTCACTCCCGCAATAAAGGCCCATTGCCTTTTTCCAAGGCTGAAGTTGGGGATCCTGGCCTTGGGGAAGCCTTGAAATGCAGGACACAGGACCTGCTCCTACACCAACATGTTTTCCAGCAGGTGAATCCTAACTAAATAGATGTTAAGTCATAATACACAGTGGCCCATTCCGTAAGGATAGGTAACCCTTTGCAAAGCAGCGCCTGATTGTTCGATCAACTGGGTGGGCAGGTACTGGGACAGGACTGAAAGGGTGTGGAAGATGGGTAACTCTGCGAAGATGGTTCTTGTTATTCACAGAAGAATCCAAGTGAATTCATGGATGCATTCCTTCATGCGGGAAAGTACCACCCCAATTAATCTTTGAAAAATAAACTTCAACCTTGCAGGAAAACTAGGTTTTGTGCGGTCGTCCCTAAGAGCATGCCTAAATCCTGCCATTTCTTATGGATCCGGCGCGTGGATTCTCTTTTCATGCCCCCGGACCCTCAGAGGCAGTCTTCTGGAGTGACACAATCACGGTCAAGAGCACAGAGGGTCATTGCCAACACCGCCGCTCATTGATACCCCAGCAACATACCACTTCCTTCCTTGTCTCAAAACGTACCCACTGCTAAACTTCGGACACTTTCCAAAGAGCTAATGACATGGAACTTCTGGCCAAAGTCAACAACAACAACAAAATAACCTGCCATCCTCAGCCAGCCCTTATCTGCTGCAGGACAGGGATTAAGCAGTCCCAGCCTGGATAAAGCCCAGGACGCTCCCTTTGCCAAATCAAGAAAGCTGAAAGGTGGGCGAGCATGCCTCTGCTTATTTGTGAAATGTAATTGCCTGGGGGAGGGGCTGGGCACCTGGGTGCTACCTGCTCTACTTGTATGTCATTCCTGGAATGTCTCTGACCCATTTCTTCCTTCATTTCTTCCTTCATTTCTTCCTTCATTTCTTCCTTCCTCCCTCCCTCCCTTCCTTCCTTCCCTCATCCCTCCCTAAATATCTGTTCCCATTTCACAGAGGAGGGAACAGGCTCCTAGAGAATAAGCTTCAGGAAGTAATTGGCCGAAGTTTACCCAGTCGGTAAATAAACCATAGAGAAGAGATTTGAACCTAGATGGTTCTGACTTCAAAGTCATGTCCTTTCCACAATGTAGAGGCTCCATCAGAATCATCTGGGACCCCCACATATATTTCTGAACCCCAATGTGGAGCATTTCAACTGCATTTTCGGGTTCCATGTGAATTTCATGTGTAACCAGGTTGAGGAATAACTAAAATGCAATACACTCGTTTTCCAACTCCTAATACCGTAACTGGTCCAAAACACTGAAGTAGCAATAATTCATTTGACAACCATTTACTGAGCACCTATGTCACTGGAATTGTTACAGGCATGGCGGTGAGCAAAACGTGCTGCCCTGAGGAAACTTACATTCTAGTGTGGGGATGGGAGGGTCACATGGGACAGATAAAAACATAATACATGAGCAAGTTATGCATTATATTATGAGATGGTAGGTGCTAAGGAAAAAAACAGAAGTTGAAGTCTGAAAGATAAGAAGGGAAGGACCAGGTAAGCTCATGGTGGGTCTTAGAGGCTATTGTATTTTTACTTTTACTCTCAATGAAATGGAAAATCATTGTCACATCTCGGAGGAAAAAAGTTACGTGAACCAATAAATTAAAAAAAACAAAAAAAAATTCCATTGACAAAGACCAGAAGACCGATTTTGAAAAACTTCTCATCCAGACTCCAAAATAATAAAAAAAATAAAGGCAGGTGTTTTTCTACATGATTCCAGGAAAACTGTTAAAATTTCACATGAAAGCAGGCTTCATGATTTAGTCACCCATCCACTCCTTTCAACCATTTGTCAACCAAGTGTTCATTAAGTCCGCAGCCTCGCCTGTGTCAGGTACTGTGCTAAGTGCAGAGGGCTTGCTAGGATTTATGACCTGGCTTCCAAAGAGCTCAGGGGCCTCAGGAGCAGTGTATGCGGTCCAGGCTGCCTGTGAAGCAATTGCTTATTCCCAATCTAATCACTTCCACTGCAATTAAAGCCCCTTTCCTTTGGCTGATTGTCAATGGGAGATGTACTTGGTCAAAGTGCTCTTCCGGCTCCAGGCCTATGACAAGCTCTGGTTGGCTGTCTCTCCCAGAGTTTTACTGGGAGGGAAAGGGTCTGCACAGTTTATGTGATTGGGAGGACTGGAGATTTTTGGCAGAGAAGAAAGAGCATTAGAAGTTGGAGGGAGCCCAGCTGGTGTGGCTCAGCCTTTGAGCTTCGACCTATCGACCTATCGAACCAAGAGGTCACAGTTCGATTCCTGGTCAGGCACATGCCTGGGTTTCGGGTTTGATCCCTAGTGTGGGGCATGCAGGAGGCAGCCAATCAATGATTCTCTCTCATCACTGATGTTTCTATCTCTCTCTCCCTCTCCTTCCCGCTCTGAAATCAATAAAAATATTAAAAGAAGAAGAAGTTGGAGAGCATGGGCAATAGAGATTGAAAAATAGCTCTTGATTCCTTGGGTTCAAGGTAGGGGAGAGGTTGAAGGTGCTGCAGTTTAGGGCATTTGGAGTGTAGGAGGGAAGCATGAATCAAACTAGCTGCTTTGTTCTATAAAGTATATAGTTTGAGCTGATTTCACTGCCACTGAATATGAGAATGCTTGAGAGGAATAGCAAAATATAGAATGAAGACTTGCCAAAGGAAAAAAGTCTTAACATAGTGACGAATTCTTTTAAAATGATTCAGCTTGCAGACTGCGCAGGTAGTGGAAACAGTGTGGTAATGGGCACCGTAACAGAATAATAGTCACCTCCGTTCTCTTACTCAAAAGCAATAAATGCAGACCCAGAAAAACTGATTAATATCTTAACTATGCTTTAGTACAACAATAGTTCAGTGGCCACATTTGAAAGGCTTTTCTTAGTGCTTTACCTCAGCCCAATCAATCTATGCTCACTTTATGGCATGATTTCGTTTTATAAATATGTCGGCCTAAGGGAGGGTTGGAGCTCATCCCACCTCCCTCATTCAGTTTTTTACAAGGCATCTTGATTATAAATATATCATAAATCATACTTATAAACATATCCTACTATGAAGCAGAAAAATCTCTCTGATAAAGAAGACATCATTTTCCAATGTCCTTGCCATTTTATTTTCAAGAGTAAAAATAGAAATGCCACTAGCAATCATATAGGTACCAAACTATTGTCTCCCTGAAGTGGCAAAAGTGTGCATGATTTTTTTAAAAATTACTTAGATGGGATATGATTCTTGGTTGAGGGTTCAAGTTTGATAGAGTAGGAATATCAAGGTTAGATTTTGCTGATGGAAAATGGAACACAAAGGCTAACTTCAGACCTCCCTCAAGTCACTAACGGAGTCCAGATGGGAGAAGAATAGCGTAAAACCAAAGGGTACACTTTGACTCAGTCAGAGACGCTTAGCAGAACCACAGTAGGGGAAACAAATGAGAAAAAAAAGTAGCTCACCCTGTCTTGTATAGACTTGGTGCTGCTGTTTGTTCACTTATTGGGCCCTTTCAAATGCCATTTTGTAAAGATTCGATTAACTTTTCAAAAAACAATAGGACCAGGACGAATTCTCTCTTGAGAGCTAACCTGGGCCAATCCCCCAGCAGGAATGGAGTTGAACGTATGTCCACTGATTTGTGCTTGTTAAAGTGTTTCTCTCCTGAAGGCATTTCATAATATTCCTAACCAGGAGACCAGCGCCGTGAGATTAAATGATGAGAGCCTTTTTCTATTGACTTTCTAACTCTACATTAAAAAGCATTCGGGAAACATTGTCAATTAAAAGACCATGCAGGTCTTTTAATGAGGGATTTGGAATTAAGTAGCTAACATTTTATAAAACTGAAATGCTAAGTCCTTTTCTGCCTTTACCAGACTCAGATTAAGAGCATACTGGCCTGATATCTGACCATTTTTCCAGTGCAGTAACAGGTGGCCACCTGTCAAGAAATGATGCTCAGTGTCACAGGGAAAAGGTAAGCCTT